GTCTGAACCGCGAGATGTCCCGGCTGGGCTGGTTCTGTCTGCTGGGCTCCAATCTGCACATCCGTCTAGAGGAACACACTGCAGACCAGATCATAGACCTGCAGAAACTGCTGGAGCTCTGTGAGACTCTCACACACACACACACACACACACACACACACATGCGCGCTCACATATTAAACACTGACACAAATATACGCGCAGATAAGCACACACACACAGAGATGCACACATAAAGACAGATACACACACACACACATACATGAATGTGCACACACACTTATGCACGCACATATACACAAACACACACACATACCTACAGACTTGCACACACACACACACACACACACACACACACATATATATATATATATATATATACACATACATGAACAAACACACTCTCATATGGAAGCACAAACACACACTCATATATGCGTACATAATCTCACACACACATGCACACAGATACATGCTAGCACAACTGCACGCACACACACACACAGACACAGGCATGTGCTCATGTACACAAACTCACACACACAGATACATGCACAAATACACAAACTCTCACACAAATGCATGCACACACATACACAAGCACACATGCACAGACATACACAAACTCACACACACACACACACACACACATTGACACATACAAACACAGACAGACACACACAAACATGTAGATTATATTCAGTGCTGTATTTCTGAACGTGTGTGTGTGTGTGTGTGTGTGTGTGTGTGTGTGTGTGTGTGTGCGCAGCAATCCATCCGGAGAGTGATGTTCTGGTTCTTGTGGAGCGGGGCAGGTGAGTGTGTTAGTGTTTTGGTCACTTGTGTTGATGTTGCGTGTGCGTCTGTGTGTGTGTTTGTGTGTGCGTATGTGCTTTGGCTAACGCTAGCGTGTCTCTGCAGGACGCTGTATATCGAGGGCGAGAGGAAGCTGGATTTCCAGGGCTGGGCGACGGCCATCCAGAGGGCTGCTGGGAGTTCTGGAGACACACTGAGCCAGCAGCAGCTGACGGAGGCAGATATCCCCGTCATCGTGGAGCGCTGCATTCATTTCATCACACAATACGGTACACACTGCTGCTCTGAGTCTAAGTCACTTCTGAGACACTATATTGACTCCAACTCTGATTCTCTTCTGATTCACTGCTGGGACTCTCCATTTACTCTAACTCTGATTCAGATTCACTTCTGATTCACTTCTGATTCACTTCTGATTCACTTCTGATTCGCTTCTGATTCGCTTCTGGGACTTTCCATTCACTTTAAATCTGATTCTGATTCACTTCTGGTACTCTCCATTCACTCTAAATCTGATTCTGATCCACTTCTGGTACTCTCCATTCACTCTAAATCTGATTCTGATCCACTTCTGGGACTCTCCATTCACTCTAAATCTGATTCTGATCCACTTCTGGGACTCTCCATTCACTCTAAATATGATTCTGATTCACTTCTGGGACTCTCCATTCACTCTAAATCTGATTCTGATTCACATCTGATTCACTTCTGGGACTCTCCATTCACTCTAAATCGGATTCTGATTCACTTCTGGTACTCTCCATTCACTCTAAATCTAATTCTGATTCATTTCTGGGACTCTCCATTCACTCTTAATCTTATTCTGATTCACTTCTGATTCACTTCTGGTACTCTCCATTCACTCTAAATCTAATTCTGATTCACTTCTGGGACTCTCTATTCACTTTAAATCTGATTCTGATTCACTTCTGATACACTTCTGGGACTCTCCATTCACTCTAAATCTGATTCTGATTCACTTCTGATTCACTTCTGGGACTCTCCATTCACTCTAAATCTGATTCTGATTCACTTCTGATCCACTTCTGGTACTCTCCATTCACTCTAAATATGATTCTGATTCACTTCTGGTACTCTCCATTCACTCTAAATCTGATTCTGATTCACTTCTGGGACTCTCCATTCACTCTAAATCGGATTCTGATTCACTTCTGGTACTCTCCATTCACTCTAAATCTAATTCTGATTAACTTCTGGGACTCTCCATTCACTCTAAATCTGATTCGGGTTCACTTCTGATTCACTTCTGGGACTCTCCATTCACTCTAAATCTGATTATGATTCACTTCTGATTCACTTCTGGGACTCCCCATTCACTCTAAATCTGATTCTGATTAACTTCTGGGACTCTCCATTCACTCTAAATCTGATTCGGATTCACTTCTGATTCACTTCTGGGACTCTCCATTCACTCTAAATCTGATTCCGATTCATGTCTGATTCACTTCTGGGACTCTCCATTCACTTTAACTCTGATTCTAAATCACTTCTGATTCACTTCTGGGACTCTTGATTCATTCCAACTCTTCTGATTCAGATCTGATTCACTTATGGGACTCTCCATTCACTCTAACTCTGATTTAGATCTGATTGACTTCTAATACACTCCATTCACTTTAAATCTGATTCTTATTAATTTATGATTCACTTCGGGGACTCTCCATTCATTCTAAAT